CATTATACGATTGTCTGGGTATGTATAATTTTTTATTTTTTTATTATTTTTTATGCGCATCAATATTTCTTTATGTATTTAGTGTCTGATTTGTATTTCCCTTGGGGCTCGCCTACCACGGATATGGACCACAAGTAATTTGCATTTAAATTTTAATTGTTCTTTATACTACGCGATACAATGTGTACGAACATAAATTTACCGATATGCTTGGAGGTCATCTGGTTTGCAATGTGTTCATAGCAATGATGGTTTTGAAACAAATGCCGATTTATAGAAGAAAAAATGGGATGAATTCATCATGCATTTCGTGACGAAATTAAACGTATACTCTTTAAATGATTATTATACTCGTAATTTTAATTTGGAAATGTTAGAAATACATTTGTATGAAAACCAAAGGTAGGAATCAACGAGTTAAACGAAGTTAATAATTAAAACGATTTTAACTTGATTTTTCATTAACTTTTCTTTTACGATTCTACGATTTCTATGATAAAAATCATATCGTAAGGTAAATAAGGAGATTTAAACAGTGTTGAGTTAATTTCAATATCGCTTGCTTAGATCCAAGTGGCCAAGTAACATAATATATTACTATATTTTATAAAATATTACACTTAGAAAATGTATTTTTTTTTTTGTTAATATTAGGTTCATTAGTGTTATACTTAAATATCTACTACCGAGAACATGAATCTCTCTTAAGTTACAGATGATTTAACCTTTATCAATTTATCGAAAAGTTAAGCGTATGACTATAGATATTATACACGAAAGAATCGTATTTTATTAAGAAGAAAACAAATTATATAAAAAATATTATTATTATTGACTTTTCGGTAGTACAATTATTGTTATGTTTATCAGTAATCCGAAAATGACACCTACACGAAACAAATACCGGAATCATTACAACGATGAATTTAAATATTTTTAAATTTATTTATTAATATTATAAGATAACAATTAGTGTTGACAAGGTTATTATAATCAATTTTTCTTCAGTGTTATAGTCTAAGGACTCTAAGGTACTTTAAATTATTTTCTAGTTTTTGATTTTAAAGGTCCCACTCGTGACCTTTTTTTTTACCAATTATTGATGATTGATAAAACAAATCATAAACATTAACAATTAATAAGTATTCAAAAATCTTAAAAAATTATTGGATTGGTTTTTATTTTTATAAAAATATACAGCACATGTCTATTATTTATTATTTTTCTTACACAAAACATACATTTTAGTAAAAATTATCACTCCTCGTACAGTGACCCAATTATGATAATATTTTTTGTTATTGGAAAGTTAATTATTTTCGTATAGTGCGTATTGGACTCTTAATATTAAAAAATGGGGAAAACACTTAAACTTTAATTCTAGCATTTAGAAAAATAAAATAGTTAAAAAAAAAAAAAACAAAACAAAAAATGATAAAAGTCACACTATAATACACGTACATGAAGTAAGCCTTCACATTTTAGCCGATCGTTTCTGGACAAATTGTAAACAATTGTAAATCCATTGTATATGTGATATTGAAATTTTTAAATTATCAGGGATTTTAGGATATAACAAATTAGTTAGGAGAGTCGTTTTTCCAAAATTGTTTGGTTGCCACTTTTTGTAAGTTAATTTTTAGCAGAGATCTGGAATTTTGAACATAGAAGAACGATGAAGAGGGGGGGGGGTCGGTACATCATTTTAATTTTTAGTATGCAAAATTCCATTTTTTTTTTTGTTGACTTCTGATTTCTCTTGGTAAAACAGGATTTTTAATAACAATTATTTACAATGGAACTACAATTGAATTAATTATTAGAAAAATAGAATTATTGTATTGCAGAGAATGTCTTATTTAACATCTATTTTTTCAATTATTCTTTGTTATCCAACAATTCATTTTTCCTATAAGTAACGAAGATTATAAATTTCCAACAGTTAAAATTGGAAAACTGAATTTTAGAAGTAATAAATCTTATTTAGAAGTATTCAAAACAACTTTTAATATATTTAAAATTTTTTAAAATATGACCAAAGTTGATCGGCCAATGTGAAGAGCTACATGAACTTGGCTCTCCCGCTTTGTTTTATTTAAATTTGTTTTTTTTCATCAACGGTTTAAATATACTTTCGATAAACGTTGGAAAAACATTAAAAAAAATAATACAATAAAAAGCTGATACTGCTGATGTGTGCGCGACTATTGTAGGTTTACTGTTGTAGTTGGGAAGTTAGATAACATAAAGTTATTTAATTTATATCTGTAACAAAAGATAAACTATTACTAACGAAAAACGATTCTGAGCTAAGCGTTTATACATGTATGGACATTTTCCCGTTTTTCCTATGTTTTTCCTTGATTTTGTCCAATTATTATTAAAACTGCTTAGAAAATTTTAAAAATTACCTGTCTAATGTATTAAATAGACAAAATTTCCTCTCAAAAAAAGGCCTACACTCTGTACATTGGAATAAGATTTGTTTTCGAAAAGTTGTTTATAGACAGAAAAAATAAACATCATTGTAAAACCAATATAATCCTCGTACGCTCCAAATCTAAAATATACATAGGTAATATTATGTGTTTAAGTTTAAAGCGTATAAATGCAAATTGTATAAGCACTATAAGCCACACCAGAAATTGTTTTTCGAATAAGATATTTCCACTGTTTTTGAGGAAATTGAATTGTGTTTTACTATGATACTATGCCTCTTTAGCTGTTGAAATTTTTATTCTGCGTCATATTACCTACATAAATGTGAGGAATAATAAAATTAATAAAACACAATACACTGTGTGCGTTGGCAATCGGTCGGTTTTTCATCGTTACGTAGTTAACGCATATGTTATGTTGTTTTTCTGAATAATCTATTCGATTACCTATGGTATACGACGATCACGATTCAATTGAAAATCTTATTTTTTTTTTATTAAGTTCAAGTGATTCATGATAATATTATTAAACTTGACCTTAGCATCACGATTTTATAATTTCAACTATTATAGTACTTGCAATCACTGTTTATACATTTTACACACGATTTTGTTATCTATCTGTTTCTATTGTACAGAGTCAATAGTAAAAATAATTGTAAATAATTATAACATTATTAGCGTATGTATTTTATACAAATTTAAATGGTTTAATAATCCCGATCTTGATAACATTTTGGATACTTGACCATCAAATCTAGAGGACTTTTTGCTGTGTACATTTTATCCCTAAAATCAACCCCCCCCCCAAAAAAAAGTAGCTTACATGTATGCGTTTTGTTCTTAAAAATACGTACTCGTTCTTTCTGGGTTCCCTTGGGCCTTTAGAATTTTGGATTTGCCTATGTTATTATCAAAATTCATTTTGTTTTACTGACGCGTTACGATTGCTATTCTTTAATCGTTAAATGTTATGATATACAGGATGATCAATCTATCTCATTATCTCGGAAAGGTTTAACATTTTTCGGAATTTGTTTTTTAGAAAATTTATAACAATAAAGAACCATTCAAATTATTTTAGATTCTGTGTGTAGAGAAGAATGTATTGGTTTTCCATAGATGTTTATTTTTCTTATTTTTTATGTGAACACTTTTTCTACCAGAAATCTTACTCAGATGAATACGATATAGATCCTTTTTTGAAAGGAAATTTTCTTGGGGTGGTACTCAAGGGAAGTAATTTTTTGATTTTTTCAGGAGTTTTCTCATCAAATGTGAAAACCAAAAAAAAAAAAAAAACGGAAAAATGTACGAAATATATTAGTACAATATTACGATTTTTTTCTGTAGACTTTTTTGCCAGTTACTTTTCTCCAATTTGTTTACAATGATAGCACTTTTTCCGAAAGGTAATCTGACTGGGAAGGTACTTTAAACAGGCATAGTTTTTCGATTTTTTCTAAGAGTTTTCTAACAGTAAGTATGAAAAACCATGGGAAAAAGACATAAGAAAATCGGGAAAACAAAGGAAAAACGGGAAAATCTGTACAATATTTAATTATTTTACCATAATATGACACATAATATATTATAGTCAAAGCATTACTATCAACTGAATTCCGTTCAGAATTTTTTTTAGTAAGCAATGGTTTATCGTTGCTTACAGATTTACATTCAATTCCCTTCTGTATCCTACCTTCCCAACTTCCCACCTACAACAGCGTCCTAACTATCCTAGGACAGCATTTTGATTTTGAAATGGCAACCTATATTCAAAATTCAATAAATAGACGAAGTATTATTTAAAATAAATTTTGGTGTTGACATTTTTGATTTTCGTAAACCTGTTGATGAGATATTCCACTTTTAAGTGGTGCATCATCAAAACACCGCAAGCCGTGGTACCACGCAAATGATGGTCCATTACTCACCCCCGACCCAAATTTAAAATTGGAATGTTTTGCCAACGGATTGAAGAAAATTTCAACACCAAACTAGGTTTTAACTAATTTATGATATTTTTAATATAGGTTGCCATTTTAAAATCAAAAGTAGGCCAGTGGTCTTACTCCAAAAAATAAGGGTGAAAAAAAAAATAAACGTAAAATTGTAGATCCGCTTGTCTCTTAAATATTTTATATAACAAATTCTGAAAAAAATGTATTACTTTCCCAGATAATGAGTTTCTTACGAAAAATTGATCACTCTGAATATTATGTATATATTTTAAATTCTAGTTGGTAAAACAATTTTTGGCCTAATAATGAATTTAAATATTAATGGATATCCGTTAAGCTGGCATGGAGTAGCGTGTAAATAGTTCACGGCCATCGCCAGACTCTATCGCTAAAATGCGAATATAATATAATAATAATGTGTAGTAAGTTTTATCGCTCGAAAACCCACGCCGACGGACTTTTTTAGTGCGACGGTCAGTGTGCCTGTAAAGGATTTATAATATACATATGTATACATGTATAAATATTAAAAAAAAAAAAAAAAAACCCAGGAATTCCGAAACAAAAAAAACCAAACTGTCATCAGTTCGTAGTAAATCGGCATCATTTCCTTGTGCGTAAACGTATTGGTATAACACCGCGGCGTGTATAAAAACTGACGGAGACGTCACCCGGACTCATTGCCGTCTCGTCCATTCTTCCGGGTAGACGCGATTCGAGCATCGTGAGCTCTTCTTCCTCTTCTGTATCCCTCGCAAGTCTGTCGAGAATAAGTATAATAATATAGAGAAGTATATTGAAAACTACTTGTTTACGGACGACATAGTAACGATTAGTAACAACATGCAACGCCGGTCGCTCCTGCTGATCGTTTCCATTTTGGTCGCGGTCCGGGGGTCTTTGCTAGACCATGTTCCTGGCCAAGTCGAGTACACCGACGAACGGCTGGATGATGATGCCGAGGACGATTCGAAGTGAGTATAACATCGTATTCTACGAAAATCGAACTGTAGGCCTTTAAAGACCTGTAGCATTCCAATAATAATGTTTTTCACCATCTACTCCTATCTTTCGAAACTTCTTTCCATCGCATTCTGGTTATCGTTATGTCTGCATTCTTTGATACTATGTAATCTCTTCATAGTAGGCGTGATATCCTCAGCGATCGAGTTTATTTTTATTTAGGGGAGACCACTTAAGGTGCGATTACCCTTAAGGATAACGCTTCTGCATCATAAAGTGGTAATTTTTGTTGTTGTTTAAAAGATGAAAAATCTTACAGGGCGCGTTGTAGTTGGATATTTAAAATTATATTTCTAAACAGAATATAGCAGACATGTCAACCGTAAAGTATCAACTGAGCCAAAAATACTGAATAGATTAACTTGAATATACATTTGTTAAACTACGAAGTAAATTGAAATCAATATTTTCTTTTTGATTTGTTGCGATGTCTATGATATCTTAGGATATTTTTTTCTGCGAAAAAAAAAATCGAAATCGGAAGTATACGAGGCAGGAGAGTTAATCCTGAATACTATGTTTTGAGCAAAAAAAAAAAAAATAATAATAATAAGTTGTCCACAGGCAACACAAAGATTAAAACCGATTGCAATTTTTCACAAGCAGAACCCTTAAAAACGAATTTTCATCGTTGTTATCAAAGGATATTTGAAGGTTTTGGGGTGCAAATAAAAAGTTCACGTAGTCACACTATGCATAAGCAAACACGTAATAGTAACAATAAAATATATTCCTATAGCCACGCTCAGAATGCAATATTACTGCTGTGTAAATAGTATATTAAAATATAGAAATAGTACCATATCATAAGCACAATAATAAATTATAATAAAACATTAAAATTGTTATTAGTGGTTAATACTTTAAATATTTTATAATTGTGTATAATTAATAAATCATACAGTTGAATTCCTTGATAATTATAAAAATATGTTAATATTTTCACCTAGATAGTTAAAACAAACACAAAATATTAAAATAATTGCTTTAAAATATAGATGCATGGATAAAAAAAACTGTCATGTAATATTTATATTTTTATTTTATTTTACTAAACAAAAATATTCGTTTCTAATGTTTCTAAATACATTGTATAATATTTTTTTTTTTTGTAAATCTTATTTTCTCACCCGATTCCATCGATCATAATATTATCATGATAAATATAATAAAATTTATTTATTTTTTTATTTAAAGAAATGGTTTGGGTGTTTGTAAAATATTTTATTACAAAAACATCGATTGTGTTTGAATGTTGTATTTTGTTAATAATCTAGACGTTTGATTTTTACATAAGAGTTGCACCACACACGAACATTTCGAAATTATACAAATGAGTTTTACGCGAACACCTTCTAACGGAACTGTATCGCCTGTATCATTCTAAAAGTTCGAAAATTGTGTACGATCAAGAAGACAATTTTACCTTAAACGAAGTGTTTTTTATTTTTATGATAAAATGATTATGAAAAAAGTTATTCAATCTAAATCTCCCATGATTTAGTGTATTTTTTAAATGCTTAGAAAATATAATTGGGTGAAGTTTCGAAAAAAAATTAAACGTTTGGTGACAAATAATGTTCTCATCAATATATAGTGAAAATATCAGGTTTTTAGATTCCGAATATATTGAAGAAGATATTAGTTTTTCTATGTGTTGTTATTTTTTTCGGAAAACACATTCGGTTCATAAGAAACATTTTTCAAATTTTCTCCAATTTTATACAATTTGAAAATAACTATCAATATTTAAATGATCACCTTAATGTTAAAATTTTTCTAATTTCTTACGAATAAGTATGACTTCATGAGAACAGATATAATTAATTTATTGCCAATTTAAAATCAGTATACCACTTCTTTTTTAACTATTGCATAATATTTTAGAGGTCACACCGATCTCCAATATTTATTTAAAATTTAAAATAAAAGTATAAAAATGTAGCAAAAAAACTTAAAATTAACTTTTTTTAAAGACCTTATATGGTTTATGCGTAGAGCGCGGATTTGTATGCATTTGCATATGTATTCTGTAACGTATGATAATATGCTAAGTGAGCACAAAATGAGTTTCATGACATAATGATTTAAAAAATGAAACTTTTTTAGTGCATATTTTTGCATATTTTATGTCAAATATGACCTTAGATCAATAATCGGTGAAATAAAATACGTATAACAAGATAAGGAAATATCGATTACGACCATTAACCGTTGACATTATTTTTGTCGTGTTAAAATATTGACCGTGCATTCGTGTGTGCTTTTCATTGTAATTCACGATTTTATTACTTTATTTTTATCAAAATGCCAAAAGATAAATCGTCGCTATCGAGTCTTATACATTAAAACTACCTACGAAATGACGAAAGTGAAGAAGAAAACGAAGAAAAGTATTTATAGTAGGGTTCCATAATTTTAAATTTACTGTTTTAATTAAATGTTCTAAAAATAATTTTTTTTGATAACTTTTGTATGTATATTTTTATTTTTCATACATATTTTAACATTTTAGTGCATATATTTATGGATTGTTAAGATTTTTTAGCGCATAATTGGTTGGTTTTTAATGCATATAAATCCGTGTTCTATTTATGAGAGTGGAAAACGGATTTCAACTATAGGAAATCTTCTTTTTTAAAACCATATAATAATCGTTAAAATAGAACCATTCTAATAGGTATGTGAGTTTTTACCATAAGGCTTGTTTTTGGTTTTTTTTTAGCGTAGTGTAGGATTTATTGGGTTTACTACGTTTTAGATTCTGAGCGGAGCGAGAAATGTATTGATTTTATAATGATGTTTATTATTTTTTTTTTTTACCAGCAATTTTGCTCTGATTTCAATACATATTCTGAAATTTAGATCCAATTGAAAAATAACAAGTGGTCGATATTGTTCGATTTAATATTTAGCCACTGACGTTTTATCTTTGAGCAAAGATATAAATTAAATAATTTTGTGTATCCTATATTCTCAACATCCCACCTACAACAGTGGCACACTCAGCATCAGATCTGTTTTTCATTTGATTTAATTTATTATTTTTTCTAGATTATTTGTTAACGATGATCCTAAACACGATGGAACCTCCAATTATCGTTTAAAGTAAGTTTTTGTAAACTAGTTTTAATAAAATGTGAATTAAATTTAAAAAAATTAAACAATTTGTATAGGTTATCAGGTTCTCACGGCACCAAATCTTCAAAGTTGACCCAAATAAATGCCGCGCAAAGTCAGTATACCTTATAATAATATCCATTTAAAATTATAATACAAATTATTTAAAATAGTTATAAAAAAAAAAAAAAAATGTATATATATATAAATCCTATAATATGTAATATTGACGATTTTCGATTTTAATGATTTTACGTCTATTGGTTTTACTCCTTTAAATTTCAGACAATTCCGAGGCGTGTCTGTCGACGTTTGTAACGCCAGAAAATTCTTACGCCGTATGTTCGAAAATAACCAAGTAAGACAAATTTTAACGCAACTCATAATATACTTACGTATAATGTCATATACCTACGTGTACATTTTTTCGTAGGAATTGTGTAGCGACGTGTATAGAGGGTTACAAATTTCCCAAAGGGCTCACGAAAATGACATTTGAATGCTACGGTTCTAAATATAAAGTCAAAGGATCGCTTTCTTTGTCTATTCCGCATTGTACCCGTACGTATTAATTAATTATTGAATGTGGTTAATTGTTGTTAAATAGGTATTTAATATTTTAATTTTGTCCAGCCGTTTGTAATCCGTTCTGTGAGAATGGTGGTGTATGTGAAAAACCAAACAAGTGCCACTGCCCGAAAAATTACGGTGGGTCGTCTTGTCAAAATTACATCTTACCGTCGTATTGCCACGGTTTCCCAAACACGCCGATGAACTCGAAGAAAAAATGTAATTCGGAGTAAGCGAAAATTAATATACAACTATAATCCAGGTTTGTGCCACTAACTTTTAAATGTTATATTATGTACTAGAGCATGTACGATCAGCTGTATCGATGGGTATCAGTTTCCGGATTCGTCAAACGTGGCGAATGTGTTTTGTAAAAATGGCGTCTGGACACCGGGAAAAGTCGAATGGTCGACCATTCCGGACTGTAAACCGATATGCAACCCGCCTTGTTTGAATGGTGGAAACTGCATCGGTAATCAGAAATGCCAATGTCCGATCGACTTTAGAGGGCCCAAATGTCAATATCGTAAGTTATTTTTTCAAGCCTTATCATAAAATGTAATCTGAGATAAGAAAAGGTTCCGTTTAAAATTTTTATTGTAAAAATTCGATTAAATCAAAACCATTATTATAATTACAATATTATATTTAATTTAAGAACTTATTTGAAATGTACCCGAAATTCATTTTATTAAATATATCTTTGAATTTTGAAAAAAATCAGACACAACTTATACAGTGTATCTTATCGTGTTCGACAGATTTTTCTAGTATTGTAATTAAATTTGTTAAGGTTTTTTTTTTAAATCGGTTTGTCTTTGAGTGGAACATCAATTTAGAGAAAAATTAAATTTTTATTTTCATCCCTTAAATACAAAAAAAAAAAAAAGTAATTATATTTATTTTTAATTTTATTTATTCACTTTAGAAAATTTTCAAAATTGCCATTTTGTAAAGAATATTATTTTCAACATTTTAATGTGCATTCATATTCGATATGATTTCATATAATTTCTTAACTATAGCCCTTTTAGTTTCTAGAAAATAAGCATGAAAAAAATTAATATTCAATAAAAGGTAAATAATTATTGTGCTAAATTTACATTTAGCACAGTAATTCTTTACTTATCGCATGTTATGCGTGTTATGCGTGTTTAACACACTAAAACTAGTGAAAATCAATATCTCATCTGATGTAATTTATTAATTTATAACTTATTTATTTATTTAATTTTTTTATTATTAATCAATCACAAATATTAAATTATAAAACAGTAAAATATTTTTATTATTTACACAAAAAAATATATGTTAACTGGGTAGTTAGTTGTACCTATTTAAAATTATGAATTAAATTTTAATATGACATATACATATATGATTGACAAATATATATGGTATATATGAAATATACGGCATCACTATCAACTGAACCCCGCTCAGAATCATTTTTCCGTTAGCAATGATTTATCGTTGCTTTCAGATAAACATTTATTTTTATGTAACTTTTATTTTTTAAAACATACAATCTATAAATACATTTTACAATAAGCATGTTTGAGGATTTACATAATATATTAACATGGTTGACATGATGAAGTAATCACCCAGCGGTGACACTTACTGGCTAGAGAGTTATTTCAGGTCACGGTTCCAATTTCGTTTTAACCTTCTAGGTGAGTTACCGGGGATGAATTCAGAGTTTAGAGCAATGATTAGAGGGTTAGAGTGGTTTCTAAGGACAGGAACGGAAGAGCTTATAGGAATTATTGGCTTCTTCTTGAATAGTGAGTATTTTTAAGTCTGAGTGTAAGGTATGGTTTGAAACATACGGAGGAGCATATGTAATCATACGTAGTGAGATTGATTGGAATGTTTGAATTTTATAAATATTGGATTATTTTGCTGATCCCCATAGCTGGATACCGTATAAACAAATTGGTTTGAGTAGGGTTTTATACAGAAGTAGTTTTGTATTAAGATAAACATTAAATTACATTTTGTAATCTATCTTCCAAACTTCCCACCTACAACAGTGACTGCATCCATGTGCAAAGTATGCCCGTCTTTTTTTTATGGATTTTTCAAATTTCTTAGCTATTCAGTATGCGTGTACACGATAAAAGTTGCCTTTTTTGAAAAATAGGAACACCCATTTAAACATTAGATTTGGATAAACTATTTTTTTTTTCTTAAGTAACGTACATAAACTTTTCCCTTATTTCGAAGATTGACCGAATTACAGCTAGTCAAATATAGGTATTTTTGAATAAATGTACAACAAATTTATGTAAATTTGTATAAATAAAAAAATACAAGTTTTATTGCTCATGCGCATACCGAAAGGGTAAGAGTATAGAAAATCCGTAAAACTCTGTATGGATCAATATTTCTTATTTTCTCTTAAAATCCCCAATTTCAATTTAAAGTCAACGATTAGAAATATTCCTTTTTACCACTTGTGTGAAAAACACTGTATAGGGTACCTAATTGTATTTAATTTATATTAGTACGAAACGATAAATTATTGTTGACGAAAAGGGAGATTCTTAGGAAAATTCGGTCAAACATGTTATGATAAATTCAAATTTTTAATTAAATAAATTTTTAAATGTAAAATAAATTACAATTTATCGTGTTTTTTCGATTTAATTGAGCATTTTTGAGCCAAATAAGTTACCTCCTAAAGAGAAAATAATAACCAAGTATAAAATGTCGACATTTATACTTTTTTATTTTGTAATGATAGTGGAAAGCTCTTGTGAAGTATCGAAATTAAAATTCAATGGGAATTACAATTGTTCTAACGATGCGGAGAAAGCTGTTTGTACGTTGTCTTGTCCTCAAGGATCTATGCTTGAACCGTTCAAAACATCCAGTGTAGAATACACTTGTCGGTACGAAACTGGCGAGTATGAACCAAAACAAATACCTCAGTGTGTATTCGGTTAGTAATGTATAGAAAATCACAAAATACTAATATTCGATTTTATAGCTGAACATTGTATTACAAACGTTTTTTGTGTATAGATGAACAGCCGACCGTTTTAAATGTGATCAGCACAGTAGTTGAAGTATTTAAAACGTTTAAAAGTCGTCCGGAAAGTTGTGTTCGTTGGGGTCACGGGAATTTTAAGACATTTGACGGAAAGTTATACAGTTTCCAGAGTGACTGTACTTACACATTGGTCAGTGACCTTAAATCCAACTCGTTTCACGTACAAGCGCGATTCAACCACGGAATCGTCACTTATATTAACATATATATTGTCGATAATTTGTATCAGATTAAAAAATCCGGTAAGATATTAAGTGAACTCTTATCAATATGTAAGCTAGAATAGTATAAACAATAATTTATGTACAACTGTATAATATTTTAGTCGATAACGTATCGTTAATGAGCAATGGAAAATCACTCGTTGTGCCAAACGAGCTGCCCGATATTGGCGTTGAAATTATCGGCAGTCAAACAGTATTTATTAATTTGCGAACGGCCAATTTGAAAATAATTTGGAAATCAAACGTGAGTCATTTTAATAATATCATTATTTTAATAATACAATAATTAACCTAAACATTTTGATTTTATCAGGGTGTCTTGCAAATAGACGCGGGTGTCGAGTTATGGAATTTGACTGGCGGTCTATGCGGGAGAATGGACGGTGCGCCAGAAAACGATTTTTCGCACAGTAGTGTCGCGAGTTTTGCCAATAAGTGGCTCGTAAATGGACTGAACGAAATATGTGAATCTCCTACTACGGACATATTACACGTTTCCAAAGATATTATTACCGAAGCTCAACGGTTTTGTTCCATTATAAAAACCGATCGATTTAAAACGTGCACTAATAAAAATTTTAATACTGAAACTTATATTGAAGCGTGTAAATTCGATTATACTCAGTGTATAAAGAGAAACGGATCCGATTGTGGATGTGGCAGTATCGCAGTCTATGCCGAAGAATGTTTCGGAAAAAATCAGACACCTTCGTGGAGAGACGACAACGTCTGTCGTAAGTTATACTATTTTAAGGATTTATTTATTAATTAAATAAAACTAGCCAACGAAACAGATATTGAATTTTTCAATTTTAATTCCATTGAGCTATTTAAAAATTATACTAATAATATTGATTTATAATTTATTTTATGTTGATTGTTATATACTTAGTTTTTAAGAATTACTTTTGTATCAGGGGCGTATACAAGGGGGGAGGATATAGGGACGATCGTCCTTTCTGGACATTATTGAATTTGTTTCAGGTATTTACTTATTTTATTATTATTAATCAAAAATTAAAAAAAAAAAGTTTATTTATTTTTGTGCGGAAATGGTTAACAAAAACTTGTTAAGAGATTGATGAGAGTAGAGATATTATAGCTATCATCAACACGCATACCTACTGTTGGTAATAATAACCATATTGTGATTGTCTGTACCCTGTAACCACGGTCCGTGTTATTAATTTATTCTGTTTTCGGTAAACGATACCATAGAGCCGTGATAATTACATTATAACAAAAATTGATAAGCTTTAATGGAAAGACGGCCATTGTAGTACTCGTACGGCACTGCAGGTCTGCAGTAGTTTTCGGCGTTTGTACTGGCAGTTTTCATTATTACTGTATACTGAAATTCGTAATACACTTATATACGAAATAATGGCTATATGTAATGGCTAATAATGGTATTAGGAAAAAAAGCCCCTTGCCAAAATCACATAAGGAAAAAAGAACCCCGGTAAAGCAAAAAAATATTTATTTAATATTTACCTACTACAAAAACTACAACCAGATATTCTTACAATAATCTATATGGATAAATTGACTACAAACAATATACTAAAATTATTATTTAAACACCCTGAGTCCAAATACACATTATAAAATATAATATATATTTTTGGTTCCTACCTACAACTACAAAATTTTAAATAGCCGATCTTTTTATAACCCATAACACTGCCACATATAGACATATACTTTTATAATTTATAAGTATGATTAAAGTTAGAATATTGCCTTTCCCCCATGAAAGATGAGCTGAATACGCCCATGTTTTGTATTAATCTATACACACCTGTATTCTCACACATGATTTTATAAATGGATCCATTTGATCTGTCTAATATATATATAAATAAATAAATAAATTTACCAATTTAACTATAGTTAATTTTGTATAGCTTATCGATGTCCTGCCGGAAAAGTGTATTCACAGTGTTTGCCAGCTGTACAAGCGACATGCTCTCTCATGGCTGATGTGAAAACCACAAATGACAACTCATACTGCGAAGAAGGGTGCGTTTGTCCAGCCGGCACAATATTGAATGACGGTTCGTGCGTGGTCAAAGAAAAATGTCCGTGTAAGTTGAGGAATAAAATATATTTGTCAGGAGACGAAATCACCAAAGACTGCAACAGATGGTAAGTTATACAGAATAGAACATTTGATTTTCTTTAGTTTTTACCTAACTGTTTCAATTTTCAAGTACTTGCCTTAAAGGAGAGTGGAGTTGTTCTAACGCTAAATGCCGTGCGGAATGTTATGCAATCGGAGATCCACATTATAAGACATTTGACGGCATGAAATTCAATTTCATGGGGGCCTGTTCGTATTATCTCGTAGTTTTACCCGAGTTTTCCATTGAAGCAGAAAATATCCCGTGCGATGGCACACTGTCACTGGAACACGGTTTTGAGGCGCCGAGCTTTTTGGGAAAAGCTACTTGTACTAAAACCGTTACGATACGCTTCGGCAATAATAATACAACTATTAAATTGGGACAAGGGAAAATAGTATTTATCAACGGAGAAATCGTCGAGAAACTACCGATTAACGTACAAGATTTAGCTTACATCAGGGAACAATCTACATTTTTCCTACAGATAGTAATAACGAACGGCATTGAAGTGTGGTGGGACGGAGAAACTCGTGTATACATTTACGCAAGTCCAGAACTGGAAGGAAAACCAAAGGTACTCGTATTTTACTATATGGATTGTATCTATACTCTATTTAAAATATAATTTCGTATAGTTTTGTGTTGACTAATCTTTAAGTGTATTTTAATTGTTTAGGGCTTATGTGGAACTTTTACTGGAAATCAGAAAAACGATATGTTTACTCCCGAAGGGGATGTCGAGACAAACGTTGTTTCTTTTGCAAACAAGTGGAAGACGAAGGAGACCTGTGTAAATAATAAATTGGAAACCGTAATCAAAACCGCGCATCCTTGTGACGAAAACATACAGTATAAATATTTGGCTGAAAGCTACTGTAGCAATATTACCGGAAAGTTATTCTCGGGCTGTCACAGTCAAGTAGATCCGAACCCGTACTACGAAGATTGTCTTTATGACATTTGTTCATGTCATCCAGGTCAATTTTCGCGTTGTTACTGTCAAATATTAGCTTCTTACGCTCTCGAGTGTTCTCATCAAAACACGATTATAGATTGGAGAAGAGGAGTAAAAGAATGTGGTATGTATTTCACATTCGTTAAGTCATTATTTATCAGTTATCATTATTTCGCCTAAGTATAATCTATTCGTATGTAATTTAGGTGTACAATGTCCGGCCGGTCAACATTACGACACATGTGGAAATTCTTGCCAACGAACGTGTCGAGATATTTCATCTATAAATAATTGTAAATCCACCTGCATCGAAGGCTGTTATTGCCCTAAAGGGTTAACGTTATCAGAGTTCGGTGAATGTATTCCCGTTTCCGAGTGCTCGTGCTATAATAACGGTCAAAAATATAAACCCGGTCAAAAAAGAATCGCGACTAGTAATAAGGGACCAGAGATTTGCACGTGTTCAAGTGCGGCCTGGGAATGCAATCTAGCCGAGAAAAACGAATTGGTACAGTGGAAAGACACGTCAGAAAGTTCATGTAGCCGTCGAAAACACTTGACGTTTACAGAATGCGAACCTTCGGAACCCATTACATGTCGTGTAAGATGTCTTTAATATTTTTTTGCTGTGAATTATTTTCCTATAAGAACATATATCCCTAGTTAACTAATTCTGAAATAATTTAAATTAATTTTACATCAATCTATAAATAGTAGACTTGCCTATTACTAGAGTTCATACTCTTTGACCGGTAATATATATTTTTGATACAGTATTGTCGTCAATGACTTAATCTACTAATAATTACTTGTTCACAACTTTTGACTATATATCACACTTTTAAATTTCAAATACAATTTTAATATGTTCAGAAAATCACCGATTAAAATACTGTTAACTCTATGTAAATATATTTGTAAACATTACGCTTTTGTTTAAAAGGCATTTATATAATAATTCATTAATTCAAAAAATATATTTAATTATTTATACTTATCCATATGTATTTCAACAGAATATGCACGATCCCCCGCAATCAACCCCTGCTATATGTTATTCCGGTTGCGTGTGTAAAAAGCCATACGTTCTTGATTCTTTCACCAAAGAATGTGTTTTGCCTACGGAATGCCCGTGTCATCACGGCGGTAAGAGTTATAATAACAGCGAGACGTTTTATCAAGGTTGCAATACATGGTAATATAGTTAATCTATTCTCAAATATTACAAATATTAAAAATACAGGCATTTTTATCATTGATATTAATTTTATGTTAAACAGTGAATGTAATTCTGGAAAATGGGAGTGTACAGATAACCCGTGTCCTGGAATCTGTTCAGTATGGGGAGATTCACATTTCCAAACGTTCGACTCTCGATATTTCGATTTTCAAGGCGCTTGTGAATACATATTGGCCAAAGGAACGCTTACTACTTATGAGTCATTTGTAACTTCTATAGAGGTGTGTATTAAAAATGTTATTATAAGATGAATTGTATGTAAATGTATAGTTTATTTTTATTTTGTGCCAATTTTAGCTAGTGCCGTGCGGTACGACTGGAGCTTCGTGCATAAAATCCGTAACGATGACTGTTGGAAGTGGCGACGATGTCGAAACTATACAATTGAAAAACAAACATTTTTCTCCCAATACAAAAAGGTGATATTATTATAATGATTAATAATTAATAATAGGTTATTTAAATAGTAATGAATGAATTTTGTTGGGTTTTGAATACTTTTTAGAATATTTGTCAAAGAACTTGGTCATTTCGTGGTGGTCGAAGTACCCGATTTAGGAATACAATTGTATTGGGACAAGGGTACTCGAATAAATTTACAAATCGATCAAAAATGGAAAAATCACGTAAGAGAAATATTTGCCTACATTAAATTAGAAACTGAATATTTTAAAAATATCATTGAAAACTACGATAAAAACACGGTTTTTCATTTAGGTCAAAGGATTATGTGGAAACTATAATGACAATCAAATGGACGACTTCCAATCCCCTTACGGTGGTATACCCGAAGTGTCTGCATTATTATTTGGCGATTCTTGGAAGCTACAACCTCACTGTTCTCAAACATTAGAAATACGAGTGAGTTCTATATATTAAAATATTTTTACTTCTAATTACATTATATTTGTTTTGGTAAAATTTAGGATGCTTGCGTGTTGCATCCTCACCGGAGGCAATGGGCAGTGAGCCAATGTAGTATGCTTAAATCTTCAATGTTTAAGTCTTGTCACTCCCAAGTTTCTGTAGATAACTACATCGAAAGGTGTATTTTTGACACTTGTGCTTGTGACCAAGGAGGCGATTGTGAATGTTTATGTACCGCAATAGCCGCGTACGCTCAAGAATGCAGTCTCCACGGCGTTTACATTAAATGGAGATCCCAAGACATGTGTCGTTAGTATAATAATCAGTATTCATTATTATAGTTAACAATTATTATAAGATTTGTCATAGTGTTCAAATTAATGGAAATATTGTATTATTCCTGTATTACTTTGAATAGCTATTCAATGTGAAAATGGCACTTCGTACAATTCATGTATACCGCGATGTTCTCAAAAATCATGTGACGATTACGCTACGCTATCCGTAGGGTCATGTGATGACAAATTTTGTATTGAAGGTAAATGACTTTTAATTCATAGTAATAATTGAAGTTTTTAGTGCATTAACGAACTAAGCTAAACATTTTCCATAATCTAGTTTAGGTTATTAATAGTAACTGTACATCATAAAAATAATACAAATTTAAATCATAAATGAACTAAGACACCATAACTTATTATTCACTTAAACCATTAGTGTGTTATAAAGTTATAAATACTTTTAAGAGCAAGAATGGTGGAATGGTGGATAATCGAACATAATTAGTCCGTTATTGAACTGAATGCATCAATATTACATTATAAACATTATTGAGTTTCGTATAGATGTTTTAAATGATTAGCAATACATTCGTATTATTCGCAGGCTGCGCTAAGGGGAATAATTGTCCTTACGGCCAAGTTTATGAAAATTCCACGTCCAATGTTTGTGTTCCCAAAAATAAATGTAAAATTCCATGTAAAATCGAAGGCATCGATCGTTTATTTAGCGACGGGGACGTTGTTATCGAGGATAGTTGTCATTCATGGTGAGTTTATATTATTTACTGTTATTTGTATTATAATATTATTCAATTATCATCAATTATTATTATTAAACTGTGTTATCTTACTATCATATTTGTTTAGCTTTTGTTCGAGAAATAAAAAAGTATGCAAAGGCCAACCTTGTGACACCACGTCTACATCGACTACTACAACTACAACTACAACCACGACAAGTAAGCCAATATTAGACCAAAGTAAAAACAAAACATGTTCGAATGGATGGAGTGCCTGGATACACGTGAATAGATTGCACAGTAAACGTCACAATAAGTTTGAATATTTACCAACGTTTGAAGATCTGAAATCTATAGAATACAATAGTATGGAAGGATTGAATAACACGGTGAGACAATAATAATAATAATAATATCATACTTTTATGCAAACTGAAGAAATTTAAATCGTAATTATTTAGGTATTTGGAATGTGCGATAGCGAACAAATAAACAATATAGAATGTAGACCAATAAACATGAAAAAAGTTCAAAAAGGTATCGTAGAAAAAGTCGAGTGTAGTGTGGACAAAGGACTCGTTTGTAATGGCAAATGTAGTGACTACGAGATTCGTGTACATTGTAAATGTTTAAAAGACATAGGTAAGTGTGTGCGTGTTCAAAATTTAACCGGATAAAAAAAAAATGAAGATTTTTAATTTTTTTCTTTAGAAGATGAAGAAGAAGTTACAAAAAAACCTCCAGACGAAAATCCAAGGGGAATTGAAAATCGTACAGGTAAAACTAATTAATTTGGTTTTAACAAGTTGATTTATTTATTATGTTATACATATGTAAGTCAATTTTAAATATTATTAAAATATAATAGTATGTGCGGATGGATTTAAATGGCAAGATTGCAAAATTATGTGCAACCAACTGTGTCATTCATTCGAAAATAAACTAAAAATTTTGAATACTTGCGTGTACCCTCAAAAATGTATCGGAGGTTGCTTAAAAGAACAATCTACACCCTGTCCCGTTGGATCAATGTGGAGGGACAACAATACGTGTGTGACCAAAAGCGACTGCACTTGTTTCTCTAGAGGCGGAACTCAAGTGAAGGTTGGATATAGTATTATTATATACGTAGTTTTAAACAAAAACGGAAAAGTGACCAATAGATTTCTCAAAATTATATAAATTTATTTTTTAATGCGTATTTTACAGCCAGGAGGTATTTTCAAAGAAGACCGGTGCACTATATGCCAGTGTTTAAACAACGCATACATTTGCGACAATTCTTCTTGTACATCGACTACCGAAATATTAACTGAACCACCGACTACCACCGAACAGATTTATAAAACTACCATAGTCGAAGAAAAACCTTACACATATTTTGAACATGTGATCAATATTACGACGACAAATGTGCCAAACTATAATAACACAGAAGAGCCGTTATTCCCGACCGAAACAACACAATTTACTACTGTAGATATTATTACGAGCACTGTAAAATGGCCGGAAATTACACAGAGTCCGTTGGTTATTACTACTACTTTCCCACCAGAACTATTTACTAATAATAATATTAAAACGACAACGTCTGAAGAAATAATTTTCGTACCCTCTACGATATCTCCGCCAACACCCTTTTGTGATACAAACCAGTAAGTATTGTATATTGTAATAAATCTTAATTTAATAATACAAATTGGTTTTTTTGCAATATTATTATAATTTCACTTTTAGAATCAAGCCAATAAGTGTGAACCTAAAACCATCGTCGTTCGACGCTAGTTCTTGGTACAACGATACCACTGCACCACATTTCGCTCAGTTGTATTCAAAAGAAAATAATTACTGGAAACCATCTGAATCGAGTGAAAACGAATATTTACAAATTAATTTAGGATACCCGGAAACGGTTTATGGTGTCCAGGTATCCGGTAACCCTGCAAAAGAAGAATATGTAACGAGTTACAAAGTAGCGTACAGTACGGACGGTATCAGTTTCAGTTATGTCCCATTTCACGGGCAGCCCGAAGTAATTTCGCATTTATATTTATATTTATTAAATTCGAATGACAATTATCTTAATAACTATCTGTAAATATTTGTATGATAGATTTTCCGTGGACCTCACTCTCACGATTTAATGGATACACAAATATTTTATACACCCGTTGAAGCCACTTATATAAGGTTTATACCTATGAGCTGGCGCAATCAAATCGCATTACGGGTGGCTATATTGGGATGCCCGATCACGTCTACGACAATTGACCTTTCAACGACAATACAACCAACAGTTAAACGTAATGTTATAATAAAATTTAACTACTAAGGGCAATTTACGCCATTAATATTTTAAGAGCTTGCGTATGCGAAGTGTAAAAGAAATGTCTAAACAAATTTTTAAATTCACTTTTATTTAAATTTTAAAACGGTCCCGGGTAATAAAAAAAGTCATTGCAAGTATTTATTATACAATAAATACGTGTATAATCACGAACAAAGTCCCTTTTAAGTTATTTCAGAACTTTTACGCGTCATGTAAATGAAAAACTATAATTTTATCTTTGGTGTAGCACATTTATTTTCAATATACTTATAAAAGAAAGTAAAAGAAACTTGAATAATTTACCTACCTGTCCCCTACCTACCTTTATCCATCTAAAAGAAGGGTTTGCAGACTACCTTGAGTCACTGGAGGTCAAATGATTTTGTCGTAAGGGGGGGGGGGTAAGGTGATCTTATTGTGATTATTTTTTAAAAATTATTCAGTAGCAGTATCGCCTTTTTATAAATTGCCCTAAATAAATTTTGTTTTTCGTTTTAACCATAGATTGGTTTTACATAGCTAGGGTTTTCATGTTAAAACCGTTCACAATGACAACCTCTATAAAAAAATAAATTTAATTCCTTAGTAAAATAAATAAATAATAATTTTTTTGTAAAGCCGTTTGTTCCGAACCGATGGGTATTGAATCCGGGTTGTTAAACAGTAATATGATATCGGTATCATCATCATCGATATTGGAAAATACGAATTCCTTTAATGTGTCGCTTAACAGTGAAACCGGATGGGTACCATTCACGGCATCGGCTAATCAATGGATACAAGTAAATGCCATTTCTATGCTGTAGCCAATTTATTAAATATATAATTCATTTACAAATATTATTCTAACAATATACAGGTCGATTTCACGGAGCCAAGAGTTATAACCGGTGTTGTGACCAAAGGTATTTCTTCGAAAAAAAATGGCGAAGCATGGATCGAAGCGTACAAAGTAGTGTATAGTAACGATTTAATAAACTGGAACAAAATATTGGATTCGAATTCGGAAGAAAAGGTTTGAAGAGAATATACAACTTTTATTTATAATTAAGATCATACTAAAATATTAAATTTGTTTTTGTTGCTGTATGCAGATTTATTCGGGTAATTTTGACGGACAAAGTTCTCATACAGTGTATTTCGGCAATCCGATTAGAACGAGATACATCAGAATTCATCCAGAGAAATGGTATAACATGCCAGCCCTGAGATTGGAAATTCTCGGATGTTTCGAAGCATACGTTACCGAAAAAATGATTGTTCAGACTACAGAACCACCTATTATTCAAAACAAGAATTGTAACGTTTGCCACGGTGTTACGAACAATGAATGCAACTGCACGTCGGATACTTGGTGGAATGGAGAGACTTGCGGACTGCGTTCTGAATGTCCATGTGTCTTAGGAATCATGACATATCCGGTCGGTACGGTTTACGATCTAGAAAACTGTCAACAATGCACTTGCACTCTCGGAGGATTACCGGAATGTGTTCCGAAATTGTGCGCACCTTGTCCACCGGTAAGTCACGAAATTTAGTGATCGAATTGAAATTTTAATATATATACAGTGTTTGACGGATATTTCTAGCGCTGTTAAAATTAAATTTTTTCAAATTTTTTTTAACCGATTTGTTTTCGAGAGGGACATCGATTTAGAGAAAAATTCAATTTTTATTTTAATACCTTAAAGACAAAAAAAAAATAACTCTATTCATTTTAGAACATTTTCAAAATAACTATTTTATATAAAATATTATTCTTTTTACTATATAATTTTAATATATCACACATCAATATTTGATGAATAATTTCTTAATTGTAGCCGTTTTAATTAGGCGTGAAAACAATCAATATTTAATTAAATAACACATTTCGGGATAAGAAATTACAATCACCACGTTAATTCTTAATCGAATATTAATTGTTTTCACGCCTATTTTATAAAAATTAAAAGGGCTATAATTAAGAAACTATATATCGAATATGAATGTAGAATACAATAATATTTTTAGAATAATATCTTTTATAAAATGGCTATTTTGAAAATTGTCTTAAGTGAAAAAAAAAAGTATTATTTTTATATTTTTAGGGGATGAAAATAAAAATTAAATTTTTCTCTAAATTGATGTACCGCTCAAATACAAACAGATTGACAAAAAAAAATCTAAATATGTTTTATATTAACAGCAATATAAAAAACCGTCGAACACTGTGGGACACAATGTATACCCTATTTGTTAATAAATAAATAACCTATAATTTAGGGAGAGGTGTCTATTACTTCAGTATCGAGTTGCGACTGTGAATGCGAACCGTGTACAAATGGCACAAAATTGTGTCCAACGTCCAATGTATGTCTCAATGAAACTTTATGGTGCAACGGAATTCAAGATTGTGCCGATGATGAAGTCAACTGCCCGCCGATCACAACCACTTCGACAACCACAACTACAACAACTAAAACTACTCCGACTACTACTCCTAAAATAACCACGACTGAACCAACTACAACAGTTACAGAAGAAGTTACAACTCAAGTTCCAACCGTACCACCAAGAACAAAGAGGCCAAGTCAGTGTCCTGAAATTAAATGTCCTGAAGGACAAATAGTTAAAATTTTAAATTCATTACCTGCGAAAACATCAGTAAAAACAAGTGCAATCAAATACGCTCGAAAATCTAGAAGCTTAGAAGTCTTTGAGGATGACCCTTGGCCGTCACCTTTTAATCCGATGACAAATTTAGCAGCGTCGTCGAAAAGAAATCATCACCACGATCCTTTCTTTAGCACTAAAGGAAATGTTGTTCGACGTAAAGGAGGCATGCATTTCGGTATCAAAAGTGGAGGTGTTAAAAACGATATACAACAGCCGATATGTAAGGAATGGATTTGCGAAATAGTTGAAAATAATGAATGCAAAACACCATCTATTACATGCGAAGAAGGTTATTTCTTACAAATGACACCAAATCAAAACGAAATTTGTCCCGTTTATACTTGCGTATCAAATACGTTGGAAGAGAGCCAATGTGAAATCGATGGCCGAGTATTCAAAACCTTCGATGGGGTTACGTATAAATACGAAGTTTGCGATCATATCATAGTTCGTGATAGAGTTCATAATAAATGGATGATAAAACGTAAGTATAAAAATTGTATTTAAAAATATAATATTTAATTTATTTTACCTATAACTGTTTATCAAATAAACATCTCTAGCTGTGATCAACTTTAATTGAAATGCATTTAATTACTTTTTAGAAATCCGTCGGTGCCCATACATCGGCACTTGTCAAGTATCTTTGTGGATAGATCATTTGAATCATATTATTGAATTTTTCCCGAATATGACAACTACTTATGATGGATATAGTTATACCGTTGGCCAGGTAAAAATAAACAAAAATGTTATGTATTTGAAACTTTAAAATGTATTAATAATAATTAATAGATAATTATACTACCATTTTAGCTTCAAATTGTTGGGAGTCAGACTAACCAGTTTGGAGTGAAACAAGTTCAAACTGATTACATTATATTCGCAAGTACTTTAGGTTTCAATATTATTTGGCAAACTAATGGACATGTCAAAATAAAGGTATTTTATAATAATTATATCATAATATATTATGATAAAATAATAAAGTACACAAATTATATAATTTATTTGAAACTAAAAAAATTAAATTAAATCGTTTACATTACATATGTTAGTGAATTTTTAAAATCCTTATTTATAAATAAATTTAAAGTTAATGTAAACCTAAATTCTAAATTCCATTATTTATATTGTATCCGATTTTTTTTATTAGATTAATGCGTTTTACACTGGACGTGTTGATGGACTTTGTGGATTTTTTGACAATAATCCTAAAAACGATAAACTTAAACAAGACGGACTTATCGCTAAAACTACACCAGAATTTGGAAATTCTTGGGCTGCTTCAAATACACAATGTGAAGCAAAAATATGCCCGATGCACATACAAAAAGAAGCCCTCGAAGCTTGCAATGTTTTTAGGTTTATATTTTATAGTTCTTATACACAAACTAATAGTTATATTATTAGTTATTTAGTTAATAAGCTGTTTATTAAGATTTATAACACTTCGTATGAGCACTTTTTATGAGAGCTTTGTAGTAATTTAAAATAATGTAGATATTCATGGTACCTAATGAAGTTATTTAACTTATTTCTAATATTATTTTTCTAAATTATTATTTTCTAAAATCATTTTTCAGATCGGAACCGTTAAATCAGTGTGGACTACATGCAAATATTGAAGAGTTTGTTATGAAATGCGTGGAAAACATTTGCTCGTGTTCTGAAAATTCAGTAAACGATTTTTCCGAATGTAGATGTAAAGCGATTTCAGGATTGGTAACTCAATGCTATGTTTCAAACTCAACCGTTGAACTCTCTGATTGGCGTATCTTACACGATTGCCGTATGTACCTATATTTTTCCTTTAAATATCGTAATTCGAGCTAAATTGCACTTATTTTTTTAGCTGTGAGTTGTCCAGCACCGCTAGTGTACAAGGAATGTTTCAATAAAGCATGTGAACCCAGTTGTGATTCATTACTTCAAAACGATCCGTGCCCAAAATTACCAGGTTTATGTTTCCCGGGATGCTATTGTCCAGACGGCTATATCAAAGATTTGGATTCTTGCATTAAACCGTCCAAATGCAGAAACTGTAATTATTAAAGTTATACAATTATTACATTAGACAGTACAAAATTCTACGAAATTGGTAATTTTGCAAATTTTTTGTAAGGTGTATGTGAAGGATCTGGTACTAATCATTACTCAACATTTGATAAGGTCGATTTTACCCACAAAGAAAATTGTTCTAGAATTTTAGTAAAAACAACAAAAGAAAATGACGCATTAAGACCAGGATTTAGTGTATGTTATTCATGTTTTTTATTTTTTTTTTACATATTCCTAATTGTAATTAGAAAATATAATATTTATTTTTAGATTATTGAGACTACTGGAAAATGTTCCAACCAATTGTTTAACAATGGCGTTTGTGTTCAAAATCTAACAATTATCCACTCTGCTCACAAGTTGCATCTTTTTTATCTTTTAGATGCATTTAAAGTAAGTACCTTCTTATAAAATAAATTATTTTAAATTCAGAATCGTATCAATAATCGCCCCTAATTTTGGATTCTGAGTGGAGCGAAAAAGCTTATGGTTTTACTAAGATGTTTATTATGTTTTTTTTTCTGTGAGCAACTTTCCTACTAGCAAATTTGCTTCAACTATATAATGATAGCAATATTTCTAATTGGTAATTTCACTGAGAAGGTACTTTAAAGAGGTCACTTTTCGATTTTCTCAAGAGTTTTGTCATCAAATTTGAAAAACCAAAAAAAACCGGGAAAATATAAAAAATATGGTATTAGTTAAATATATTATGGCCTTCTTTTTTTCTGTGAACAGCTTTTTTAATAGAAATTTTGATCTAACTATTAATGATAGTAATGTTTCTAAATGGAAATTTCACTAGGGAGGTATTTTAGAGTGGTCATCTTTCGATTTCTTCAGGAGTTTTTTCAGCAAATGTGAAAAACCGGGATAAAACATGGGAAAATCGAGAAAATGTAGGACAATTGGGAAAGTCGGTACACCATTAAAACAATATTATTAAAGAAATTATACAAAATATTTAATTATTTACTATAAAATGACAAATAAATTGTTGATAAAGCATTACTATCAACTGATCTCCGCTCAGAGTCGTTTTTTCGTAAGCAATGGTTTATCGTTGCTTACAGGTATACATTAAATTATTTACATATAACAGTGGCTGTACCCATCCCCATTATTCTAGGACGGCTTTTTATTTTTTCTTTGTATAGATTGGAGCAACTGTTGACGGAAATGAAGCCACAAACATACCATTTATGAATAAATGGTTATCGATTACAGAATCTCCCGGAAAATCTGTAACCGTTACCATTCCAGTTCTTGAATTGGAAGTAGTATTTATGACTCTAAATCAAGGTTTTTCAATAAAGTTACCATCGCATTTATATTACGATAAAACTGAAGGCTTGTGTGGTAGTTGCAATGGAGATTCTACAGACGATATGGCTGCTCCTGACGGATACATTTCCACAAATTCTGATGAGTTTGTAAAAAGCTGGAAAGCAAATGGAACAGGTACATTGATAATTTATATTATAATATTATTGTTCTTCATATTAAGATATTTATTATACAAATAAATACATTGCATTACCTTAAATTACATTTTTTTGATTTAGAATTTGAACAATGTGAAACCGTTGTTAGTAATATCGTTGAAAAAGAAGAAACTTGTCCTATTCCAAAACCGGACGTCGACCCTTGTCTTAAGTTAATGGATTCTAAAATATTTGGACAGTGCCACGCGATTGTTGATGTGAATTTGTACTTAAAAAAATGTCATTCGATTTTGTGCCAAGGGCACGAAGGATCTTTTTGTCATTCATTAGAAGCCTACGTCCGTGAATGTCAGTCTTTCGGCGTGTGTTTGGATTGGAGATCTCCCAATCTATGCCCTTACTCGTGTCCAAAAGGTAAAACGATATCGAAACTGTTTTTATATTCTAAATTACCGAGTTTATTCACACAGGTTTACTGTATAAGGCTTGCTCCTCCGGTTGCGAAGAAACTTGCGATACTTACAAATCATTACGCTCCGGGGAAACTCCGTGTAAAAATCTGCCAACAGAGATGTGTACGTGTCCAATGGGTCAAGTATTTAACAATAGCATATGTGTAAATGAAAACCGATGTGAGCCTTGCGATAATGAAAATCATTTTGTGGGAGATACGTGGTATTCTGATAAATGCACTATTTGCACGTGTACCGCTAACTCAAAATCGGTACGATGCGAAAAGAAACAATGTCCTCAATCGTCATTTGCGATCTGTCAAACCGGATTTAAATCAGTTAAAGACGAAGAAAATTCAGATGAGTGCTGTGAACAGTATAAATGTAGTAAGTATAATATTACATCTGATTTGATTTATGTATGTTAGATATATATTTGCAACTAGGCGTCGGCTACTATGCCACTTAGTTGCCTGATTAAGCTTCTTCATCTCTTGGCAGCTCGGCACAGGAGTGTGGGCTAGGCCGAACACCAACATGATTCCTTAGATCCGGTGTAGGCTATTCGAAAAAAAAAAAAAGTTAAAACTAAAAATGTTGTGTATATAGTTCCAGAGGAAAATATCGAACAGAATTGTACGGACATTGCAATGCCGGTGTGTGCAGAAGATCAAGTGGTAAAAATCGAATTAACGCCAAACGGGTGTAAACGGTTTATTTGTGGTACGTAATAATCAAAAATATTGTCGTACTGGAATACACGTATTTTTGTCTTTTTCTCAGAATGTAAACCGAAAGATCAGTGTGTTTCGGCACTCCCTGATAAAGACGTGGATCTATTACCCGGCATGATCAACGTATTGAATAACCAAGGTTGCTGCCCTGCGTTCCACGCGATTTGCGCCCCCGAAACTTGCCCCACACCAAAACCGTGTCCGATGTTCTACGAGCAAATCAAAACTGAAAATCATAGTTGTTGTCATCAATTTAAGTGCGGTAGGTTTGATTTTTGTTGACATTAATTGAAGTGTAAAATAAAATCAGATTTCTGATTAAGTTAATAATAATATGTTTTAACGCGATGATAGAATTGCCGAACAATACATGCGTTTACGAATATGAATGGATGGCGTCGACCGAAGGCGGTGAACGTAAGCGAACCGAAAACGAAAAGACTGTAGTTTTGAAACAGGTAAATTTGTTAAATAATAAAAAAATTTAAAAAATCCGTTTACGAGAGTGCGAATCTAATGGTAACTAATAATTGTTCTTAAGTCAAACGATAATTGGGAAGACGGACCGTGCCGGTCGTGCTACTGTGATGCGGCATCGTCGACTCGGGGTACTTGCAATAAAATCGAATGCGCTGCTCCGCTAACGAGTTCCGACTATGTAATTGTCCCGCACATGAAATACGGACAGTGTTGCCCGAGTTATAAAAAAGAATCGTGCATTTTTAACGGTACAGTTTACAACGTCGGAAGCGAATGGTCTTCGCCCTCGGACCCTTGTTTGACTATGAGTTGTAAGATCGACGGCAACGGCGATGCGTTTACAACCGAATCCGTAAAAAGTTGTAACACCGATTGCCCACTGGTTAATTTCATATATATATATATTTACTTTGTCATCAAACTTTTCCGCATTATAATTTTTTTTACGGATTTAGGGATGGGTGTACACACCGTTGGCGAACAGTTGTTGCGGAACTTGCTTACAAAAGTATTGCGTGATGCAAAACAAAACATACCTGGATAACGAAACGTGGACTTACGACAATTGTACAACGTACATTTGTTCAAAGTCCGAATTCAACGAGGTATAATAACGTGTACAAATCGTATGTATGATTTAAATTTAAAAAATGCCAGCATAAGTAGTGTTTTACACTATATATAAACCACTGTTGGGTGTAAAGGCGGGAAGTCGAGAAGGATTGATAGGGTGATTTATTTAATGCGAGTACCTGAGTACCTGTATACCGAATGAAACGATAATTGAATCTAATAAAAAACGATTCTGATGAAGCTTGTTGTTAGCTGATTGATGGGAGAGATGGAGTTTTATTTTCTGGTTTCTCGTATCATAAGGAATAGTACAACTGATTCTTCAAATTTTTTCAAATGAAGCACAACTGTTGAAGTAAATCTATGTCAATTGAGGAAGTACGTCAAACACTCAACGCTATTTAGTATTAAATAATTTTATTTGTTTTTCGCTAAAATCAAAATCTAAAAAAAAAAAAAAAATGAAATAACAACCATTTACTATATTTATTTACTTTTTACACGAGTATTAACCATTTATAGACTAGAATCATTAGAATCAGACTAGACGAATCAAAACGTTTTATTTTAAGTTTAATATTTTACCGGTATATTATACATGTTTGAACATTAGAGATTGCCCGGAAAACTGGATCTTTAATTTAAAATTAAATTTATAAAACTACCAGCATAAGTAGTGTTTTACACCATTTGTAAGCTACTGCTGAAGATGTAATGTTGGGAAGTTTGGAACAATGTTTTCATGACTTATTTTATTCGAGTATCTGTATACCGAATACAACGTTAAATTAATGTAATAAAAACGATTCTGAGGCAGTTTGTTGTTAGCTGGTTAATGTGAGAGACGGGGGTTTTTGGGAGTGTCGCATTATTTGGGTTAAGTGAAAATAATTCTGAAAATGTTTCCAATAAAATCCCCCGGTGGAGATAATCTGTGGATATCTTATAAGCTGTGTCAAGGGTTCGGCATGTTTTTATTAACCGATAAATAATCGTTTTTTCAATATTATGAAATTCTTATATGTTTTCTTTTGAAACTTAAAAACTAAAAAAAAAAAAAAAATCAAATAACAACCGTTTAGACTAGGTATATTATTATACTTACGGATCAAACCGTTTTATTTTCAGTTTAATATATTACCGGCGTATCATACGTGTCCGAACATTGGAGACTGCCCAGAAAACCGAATCTATAACGACGGATGTTGCGAACGTTGCAACACGACGGGCGTCATAGAAGTAGAAAACCACAGTATGTGCGCACCCGAGAGTTTACCGTCAAATCAAACCGTCGGTCTGGTAACCGAAGACAGCCCGTTCCACGATACGTGCACAAACACGGAGGCCATAGTCGGATTTGCGGAATGCCGGGGGCTTTGCGATTCATACACGTACTTTAATAAAAGTGAGTTTTATTACCTACTGATATTCGAATTGGTTGCGCGTGAAGTGTTTTGCCACAGCCACCGCCGTCTTTTCAGAAATGTCATATAACAGGAAAGTATTGTGAAATAATTTTTTTTTTTTTTTAGAAACAATAAAACACGATTCGAAATGTCAATGTTGTCAGCCAATACGTTACGATAATTTATCGGTGACGTTGGAGTGCAAGGACGGCTATCGATACGAAAAGTCTGTTTCGGTGCCGTCGGCTTGCTCGTGTACGGCGTGCGGAGGAGAAAGTTTTTCTATAAAAAGAAAATCCGTAGTTATTAAAAAATAAAGAATGCATTACTTATAATACTAGCGTTTTACGAAAAAGACAATTTCAATAAAAATCACATGACAATAACAGTATATCCGTTTTTATATTTATTTATTTTTTTGTTCAAATTATAATATAATGGTATATGATAAAACCCAAAACTTTTTATTTGTGTACAATGTATTGTACTGCTGTAGAAAGGTTAAAAGTTTAGTTAACCTATCGTGATATGTATTGTATTATAATAGTAATCGATTATTTTCTTTTACGTTTTTTTCAAACGTATTATATATACACTCCGTTACATTAAGTATACATTTGCTTTCATTATTCTTAATACGAAAAAAATGGTCGACTTTTCCCGATCTTCTTCATTTGTTAGACATTATATAATAGTGTTTTTAATTAAGAATAATTAAGAGCGAAACAATGATGACGCGTCGTTATTTCGTCTGTTTATTATTATTTTTTAGTGAGTCATAAATTGCCTTTTCCATACCAGACAAAAAAAAAAAAAAATCTTTTCTGTATATAATGGGATGGGTTAGAGGTATTTTAATCTTACAACCTGATCTTACAATCAGTATATTATATTTACTATTTACATTTATACCTGTTCCTCTTTACTCAAACTCCGCAAAAATGTATAATAAATTATTATGAAGCTACATAATATATTTCAAAAAAATACTATTATTTGTATTCAAATATGTTTGTATATAGATTAAATATTTTCAATACCTTTGTTAGCAAATGTAGCACTAGTATGTTTTATTATTTTTTAAAAAATATTTTCTGCAAAACTGTCGGTGTTAACTGCTAATTATCGGACACAAATGTACTTTTTTATAAATTAACGAATTAGTTACTAAATTTTAAAAACGATTCTGAGTTCAGAATTACAATGTTGAATTTATGTGCATATCTTTTCATTTTTATAACATAATTTTCAGACATCAAATTATTTACATATATATATAAAAAAAAAAACAAACATAAATCCACTAATTTCTCGCCCTGTTCTTAAAATGTGTGAAATATTAAAATGTTTTAATATTACTTTTGTTATTGCGTTAGATACAGACTTAAAAAAAAAATTTTTTCTAGAAAAAAAATCACAATTTTCAAATGCATGGATTTGTAGTTTGGTGTTACTTCGACTTGAAATATAGAAATCTAATCAATTATATTGAAAGATACAGTATATATCGGCATCGTTTAATCAATACGTTATTCAATTTAATAAATAACCCATTAAATAACAGAGGCTTTTAAAGTCAGAGATATTTATAAGTAGATATATATATATATATATCTATGTTTATATCGTAGAATACATTTTGTATGAAAAAAAAAACCCTAATAAACGTTCAATGAAGTTTTGTTCCAGAGCACTGCTTGTAGTATAGTGGATTTTGTTTCCTCATGTCCGTTGCAAATTTGTTTATATATAATTAGCTGTATTATTCGGCTTCGTCCGTGTGTAGTTTTCGTGTTTGTACAGATTGGTGTGTTTATACCGTACATTTTGGTCCAAATTAGTGCCTCCCGTCGCGTGGAATCTCGACCTTTCAGGGTACCAATTGTCAGAGTCTAAAAAATGGGAGCTCGAAGCTTTCTATTATAAAGTATTCTGACCTTCCCGGAAACGTTCAATTTTGGTCCCCGAATTACCCTAATCCACCCTCCTCCTTCGAGGTGTCACTGTAATCTCTTAAACGGTCCGTTGTTTACTTATGTAACTCAGTATTTTCGATTTATAGGCATAGAGTTATTTTACACTTTGATTTTGCATTGATTTATTATTATTCAGTCAGGACATTATTTTGTTTAAAACGTATCGGTATACTGTATTATTGCTCTTTGATTATCCAAGCGTGTGTTTACACTCTCTTGTTATGTAATTCTTTGTTATGGACAGGTCTAATGATATTCCACTGTATATGTCTTTCGAGTACAAAACATTTATTTTCGTCAGTACTCCTCAGGTTTCAGAGATCCGTTTAATATTAGGTACTGGTTAGTGGCCTTACAGAACTTTTTTCATTTTTTCGGATAGTGGTAGTACACTTATCAACTTTGGGAGTCCATATAGTTATATGGCGACTGAATTCTTATGGTTTAAACTATTTTTTTTTTCAATTAGTATTTTGTTAAAACATTTAAAATTATCTACTTTTACAAATAAAAATCGCGTTATTTATAATTAATTTACAATCCGAGAAATCGGTTTCGCGCATATAAGAATTTTTCAACCAATAATAAAATCAAATTCTACGGATGTTAGTTTTTGCTTGCATATGTAATTATTTTAGATTCAGGGTAAAGTAAAGGAGTTATTACAGTTTCACTACAATGATTTGTATTCTCTTTTTTTCGGTAAATACTTTATTCGTAACAATATTCCGTTTTTTTCATGCAGAATCTACCTTAAACGATATCGGTTTTCCAGCGTTGGTATTTTATCAAAAATGTTTTAAATTTTAATCCTTTTTCCTTTTTTGAGTTTTTTTTTTCTCAGAAATTAATCCAAGTACCTATGGTATTGTATTACTGATTTTCATAAATTGTTAAATTGGAATGTAAGGGATGACATAAAAGAAAAAAAAATCACAATATGCACAGTCAAACATTTAGTAGCAAGCAATTTTTTAAATAATTACACTTTTATTCCAGCAATTTTGCTCTGATTTACTCTGATAGCACTTTTTCTGAAAAAAAATCTGATTGAGGGGGGTTACTTTAAAAAGGTAATTTTTCGGTTTTCTGAGAAGTTTTCTCAACAAATGTAAAAAATTGAAAAAAAGTAGAGGAAAAACGGGAAAATGTATGAAAAATATTAGTAAAATGTTAATATATTAAAAAAATTTGAAAAACAAAGAGGAAAAACGCTGCTCGGAATCCTTTTTTCGTTAGCAAAAGTTTATCGTTGCTAACATAGCAATGCATAAAATTCCCTCCTGTATCTTACGTTCCCAAATTCTCACATATAATGGTAGCTGCACCCATCCACATTATCCTAAGACAACGTTTTCGTCATTTATTGTACAATACTTCTAATTTTAATATACAATTACGATACTCCTTAGTAGGTATTAAAACTTTTGCTAAAATATAATTTTCCGTCATTCACTAATCGTGCACTTTCGCGTAAACTTAATTTGACTTTTCGAATGTTAACAAATAAGACTGATAACACTTGTTTATTTGATATTAACTTGCATCCAACAAGTTGATAAGAAATAGTTCCAATTAAATAAATACGTTTACCTAAGTTTATTTTGCATTCCATTTTTAATGTTTAAATAAAATTAGAAAATAGCTGTACGAACTACAGACGTTCACGGTTAAATACAAATGACATGTGTTTAAAGCTTACTATTAATTTTAAAATATGTATAACATTATTGTATTTATTGATAACGTCATCGACAACGTTAATAGTGTGATTTTGCATTACACGATAGTTCAGCTCCAGTTATTAATACCTAAACCGGTAATCGGTATACTTCGTAAATATAGTTTAATGAATATCATAGAGTTATGTGTTATTTAAAAGTTGTTATGACTGTTTATATAATATGACCAAGTGATTGATTTCGTCAATACAAAGCATTAATGAAAACTAAGATAATATTATATAGTATACAAAAAGCGACTTTTGGTTATATTGAGGGTAAATAGGTCGATTAATTAAAAAAGTTCAAGTAATAATTATCATAGGAAATTTAATTTAACATTTCATTTATTTTTATAATTTAATGTTTATTATACAAATTTTAGGTCGTAATTACAAAACACCAAAAATCACCTTTTTAGAAACATTAATCACTCTGAAGCACGTCTAGGGTTTTCCGAATTTTTATGAACCTTTACATAAATTATTTTTTTTGTCGTTTTGAACAAATTCTGAGGGATAGACCGATAAAATATTGAAAACAAATTTTCCATCTACACGATTAAGATCACTCTAGTGACTCAGACTAGAAGTTATTGACATTTTATTTTTTATTACTATACTTTCTTGGTTATGTAGGGAAAAAAAAATCTTTTACTCAATTGTATCAGTCAAACGAACTCCGATCGTGGTATAGTTTTGAATTGAAATGATTTATCGTTTTATCGTTGCATTCATGTAGTATCTACGAGTACAAATTTAAATTTTTTTTTTTTTTAGTGAATAACGATCATAATTATGCATGAATACATTAAGTACTCGTAAGTTCGAATAATATTGCATGTACTCAAATTAAAATTCAACCAAATTCTTAGGTTTTTTGTAGTAGGCAAAAAGGATCAGAGCGTTTGTTAGCGATTGCATAGTGATAACTAATAAATTAGCTAACGTATATTAAATTTTTATCCAACCAGGTTTTTTTTATGCATTTCTTTTATTATTCTATTCGCATACTCAAACGTCAATTTATCATTATTATTATTAGAGCTAAGGTTATAAATCAATAATGCTTTAATGCTATCATCAAAAAATGAAAAATAAAACAGCTCTTATTCTCATTCAAAAATACATGACACTAATGTAGGTAACAAATTATTGATAATGATCTCGTTACTTAGAATATTATTATTTGGATAAATAAAATAGTCAATAAAATATAATATTATACATTATTCAATGTCTGGGATGTAAACTATTATAGTCGAACGAATTTTTTTATTATAATTTTGTGTAACTAACACAAATTTGAATTCCGTCTGTTAATTTTATATTTGTATAAAATCCTTAATCATACGATTTTGTACAGATATTTGCATTATGTATTACTATAAGTATCGACGTAAAATTGATAAAATTACAGTTTATAGAATAGATCAGGGATCAGTAACATTTTCGGTGTCAAGGGCCGAAATATAAAACATAATTCGTTTATAGGTCACAATTTGAATATACCTTATTTTGTTTTAAACAAAAGTTGTTAGTCTTATAATTAAATTTAACCAAGTATCGTTATAAAGGGTTAATAATAATAACATTTCCATGGGTGCCAGATTTTTTGAATTTCCCAATTCCTTGGGGTCTCCAGCCACATAAAAACCAATAAATAAAAAAAAGTCATCAGCAATAATCCAAATATTATATTATAATACATTATATTTTTATAAGAAATAATATAAATGTGTTACAAATTAGATTTTTTAATTTTTTATTTCATGGGGTGCCAATCACTGTGGCACCTCAATAGTCGGCGCTCACGAACATGTTAAAATTAAATTTAAATAAGAAGACGGATGCGGCTACTGTTGTAGTCTGTAGGTGGGTACTGGGTAGTTAAGAAGGGAGAATTCATAAATTTATTTAATTTATACTTGTAAACAACAAACCATTGCTAACGAAAAACGATTCGGAGCGCAGTTCGGTTTTATACGTTTTGAATGGCTTGATATTTACGATTTTCGTCGCGGTTCTTGCGTGGTCAAAGACAATTGTCCCTGTAAATTGAGAAATAAAACTAATATTGGCCGGAAGACGAAATCACTAAAGATTACAATAGATGGTAAGTTATATAGAATAGAACATTTAATTTTCTTTAGTTTTTACATAACTGTTTCAATTTTTAAGTACCTGAATTAAAGGAGAATGATGTTGTTCTAACGCCAAATGCCGTGAGGAATGTTATGCAATCGGAGATCCGCATTATAAGACATTTGACCGCATGAAATTCAATTTAATGGGGGCCTGTTCGTATTATCTAGTAGATTTACCCGAATTTTCGTGGAAAGTTACGTCGGAAAGTTCATGTAGCCCTCGAAAACACTTGACGTTTACAGAATGCGAACCTTCGGAATCCATTACATGTCACGTGAGATTAATCGATATTTAATTTATCGGGAGTTTTTTTTATTTATACACATTTAATGTCTTATTAGTAAATATGTCCTTAATTTATCTGGTTTTAGATAAATTCAATAGTTTAATTCAATCCGTGAGATTTTTTAACACTGACATTTTTGATCATTTGTTTGTTTTAGCCAATTTTTCATGATGTGTTTCTAATAACTTAACTTAAATATAATTAATTGTTTACCTAAATTCGATCAAATTTGGGTAAAATAATTATATACAGCGTATCCCACGAAGTTATACCCATTGTATTATTTCCGGAAATAACGAAAGATAATCAAATTCTGTTTTTTTTTTTTTATAAAACTCATTGGGACCAGGACTACAAATATTTATATTTCGATTTATTCTGTATGTTTTGGTAAACAACTTGAAAATTATCTTTTTATTTTATTTGTTTTGAAAACCTAAAGATAAAAATGTTATAGAGGTGTTTTTCTGAAAATGTTGACGTATCAAATTTTTATTTTAATGGAATTTTTGGGTTGTAATAATTTTTTAGATTTCATAGAAAAATACTTATAATTATGTTGTAGGCTGTAATCGAAAAAATATAATTCGATTATCTTTATTATCTCAGGAGATATTGCAATGGGTATATTTTCGTTGGACATTCTGTATACTATATTCATTTCAATTTTTAATTGGAATATATAATTTATTTTCAGTTAATTACCAATTGAAATAATATGTATTGGTGTGCAAACATCACATTTTTGTTTAACAAACAATTCAGATTTTAAATTTTAATTCAAAACAAACATAAAGAAAAAAAATGTGCTGATATACTGGGGACGGGTGCAGCTACTATTGTAGGGTTGTGGGTGGGAAGCAGTAGTTATTTTTCCCAGGTAGAATACGTTAAGATATTTAATTTATGTTTGTTCGCAATGATAAACTTTTTCTAACAAAAAAACGATTCGGAGCAAAATACCTTCCCAGTCAGATTTCCTTTTAGAAAAAATGCCATCATTGTAAATCGGAGCAAAATCGCCGGTAGAAAAGTTGTTCACAGGAAAAAAGTCATAATATTTTACTAATATATTTCGTACATTTTCCCGTTTCCTTTGTACTTTTTAGGTTTTTCACAAATTGATGAGAAACCTTCTGAGAAAATCGAAAAACGACGTTCCTAAATATCCACTTCAAGAATATTTCTATTCAGAAAGTCTATATCGTATACATTGGAGTAAGCTTTCTGGTAGAAAAAGTATTAACATAATAAAAATATAAAAAATAAATATCTTTGTTAAACTAATACAAGATATAAAAAAATACTCTTTGAAGTGATTTCAAAATTATTATGCGTCAAGTAAATAAAAGACAATTATATTATCTTTGATATGGCTTTTTTTCAACTTAAAATAATACATTTTTAGATTAGCAACGATGCTATTAAAAATAAAGGGTAAAACATTTTACTTCTTTGAATTTGAAATTGTTCTTTGTGCATTTTTAAAAAATCTAACATTTTAATTTTCAAATAATGTCTGATCACGAAAAAAAAAATGTGTTTCATATTTTATAAATGTTACAACTACCAAATTATAAATACCGATAATGTCTATACCTGTTGTTTGTATCTTTTCCCATTATTTTTTCGAAGATATAAACAATAATAATAATAATAATAATAGTAATAATACTGCCAAATTTGATAGAGAAAACCAAACATTACGTTACAAATGTATGGTCACCAGCCAACTTATAATTACATCCTATGTTCGAGACAATGCCAGTAGCTCGCTTAATTTATAAAAAAAAAGTAGTAAATAAAATATTAAGTTTACGTAGCGGAAAATTTCTCAAGGGAGTCTACGGCTCCCCTCATTTCACTTGTACAAACGGCTATAGTTTCCCCGTTTCTGTTTAGGGCTAAATCATACCTAAAATTATTTCAAAGTTAAATTATTTTAGAATACAAGGTTTTTACGTCCAAAGACACTCACATTGACTCACGCCTCTATCTTGTTTGTCAGTAAAATGAATCTACATTATGTATTATTATTTTGTTCTAAACCGATGGGCATTAAATCCGGTTTTTTAAACAGTAATATGATATCGGTATCGTCATCATCGGTATTGGAAAATACGAATGCTCTTAATGTGTCACTTAACAGTGAAACCGGATGGGTACCATTCACGGCATCGGCTAATCAATGGATACAAGTAAATGCCATTTCTATGCTGCAGCCAATTTATTAAATATATAATATATTTACAAATATTATTCTAACAATATACAGGTCGATTTCACGGAGCCAAGAGTTATAACCGTTATTGTGGCCAAAGGTATTTCTTCGAAAAAAAATTGCGAGACGTGGGTCGAAGCGTACAAAATAGTATATAGTAACGATTTAATAAACTGGAACAAAATATTGGATTCGAATTCGGAAGATAAGGTTTGAAGAGAATATATAACTTTTATTTATATTTAAGATTATACTTAAATATTATCTTTGTTTTTTATACACATTTATTCGGGTAATTTTGACGGACAAAGTTCTCATACAGTGTATTTCGGCATTCCGATTAGAACGAGATACATCAGAATTCATCCAGTGAAATGGTACAACATGCCAGTTTTCAGATTGAAAATCCTCGGATGTTTCAAAGTATATGTTATCAAAGAACCGATTGTTCAAACTGCATGCACTTTTGTAAAACCACCCGTTGTTCAAGACACGAACTGTAAAGTTTGCCACGGTGTGAACAATGAATGCAAATGCACGTCGGATACTTGGTGGAATAGAAAGTCTTGTCATAACATATTCGGTTGGTACGGTTTACGATCTAGAAAACTGTTAACAATGCACTTGCACTCTCAGAGGGTTTCCTAAATGTGTTTTCCGAAATTATGCACTCCCTGTCCCCTGATAAGTGACGAAATATATTATTATACATTGATATATATATATTTAAATTTAAATATACCTATTTTTTAATAAATAACGAACCTATAATTTAGGGAGAGATGTCTACATCAGTATCGGGTTGCGATTGTGAATGCAAATCGTGTAAAAATGGCACAGAATTGTGTCCAACGTTTAATTTATATCTCAATAAATTTTTATGGGGCGATGGAATTCAAGATTGTACCGATAATGAAATCAATTGTCCGCCTATTACAACCACTTCAATTACCACAATTACTACTACTACTGAAACGGGCCTGACTAAAACTGCACTAACTACAATAGTTACAGAAGAAGTTACAACGTTCCGATAGTACAGCCAAACATAACAGTACCAAGTTCATGTTCTAAAATTATATGTCCTGAGGGAAGAATAGTGAAAATTTTAAACCCATTACCAACAAAAAAAAAACAGTGAAAACAAATGAAATAAAATTCACTCACGATTCTCGAAGTGTAGAAGTTGTTGATGATGGCTCATGGTTATTACCTTTTAATTCAATTACAAATAGAGTAGCGTTAATCCTTTCTTTATAACTAATTCAAACGTTGTTCGACAAGCCGTCGAAAATTATAACCAACAGCAGATATGTAAACAATGGATTTGTGAAACACCGAATGCTATAAACGATTGCAAAAAGCCATCTATTACATGCGAAGAAGGTTATTTCTTACAAATGACACCAAATCAAAACGAAATTTGTCCCGTTTATACTTGCGTATCAAATACGTTGGAAGAGAGCCAATGTGAAATCGATGGCCGAATATTCAAAACCTCCGATGGGGTTACGTATAAATACGAAGTTTGCGATCATATCATAGTTCGTGATAGAGTTCATAATAAATGGATGATAAAACGTAAGTATAAAAATTGTATTTAAAAACATAATATTCAATTTATTTTACCTATAACTGTTTATCAAATAAACATCTCTAGCTGTGATCAACTTTAATTGAAATGCATTTAATTACTTTTTAGAAATCCGTCGGTGTCCATACATCGGCACTTGTCAAGTATCTTTGTGGAAAGATCATTTGAATCATATAATTGAATTTTTCCCGAATATGACAACTATGAGAAATGGGGTTTTATTTTCTGGTTTCTCGTATTTTAAGAAATAGTACAACTAATTCCCCAAATTTTTTCAATTATTTTTTCTTCCATTAAAAAAGTGCGTCAAATTCTCAACGCTCTTTAATATTAAACAATTCTATTAGTTTTTCCACTAAAATCTAAATCTAAAAAAAAAAAAAAAAAATGAAATAACAACCATTTACTATATTTATTTACTTTAATTATATACGAGTATTAACCATTTATAGAATAGGCATATATTTATGAATCAAAACGTTTTATTTCCAGTTTAATTTTTTACCGACATGTCCAAACATCGGAGACTGCCCGGAAAACTGCATATATAACGACGGATGCTGCGAACGATGCAACATGATACAGAGATAAATCACCACAGTAGATGCTTACCAGAGAGTTTACCGTTCAATCAAACCGTTTGTCTGGTATCCGAAGCCAGCCTGTTCCACGATTCATGCACAAATACGGATGCCATAGTCGGATTTGCAGAATGCCGGGATGTTTGCGATTCGTATACGTACTTCAACAAAAGTAAATTAAATTATTGACATCGAGTGGTGAACGTATGAAGTGTTTGGCCGCCGTCGCCGACGTCGTTAGAAATTTCATTCTATGAAACTAATATAAAAACTTTCATTTTTATTTTTATTAGAAACAATAAAACACCATTCGAAATGTCAATATTGTCAACTGATACGTTACAATAAATTATCGGTGACGTTGCAGTGCAAAAACGGCTAGCGGTATGAGAAGTTTGTTTTGGTGCCTTCGGCTTGTTCGTGTTCGGCGCGCGGTGATCAAAGTTTTTCTGTTCAACGATAATAACACATTATAATTTGTATGTATATATATATATTTTAAGTTCAAATTATAAAATATTATATCGAGGAAATCTTTTTATTTTTGTATAACATTTTATGGCTTTATAGAGATATTGGTACAGTTATGTATCCTATTTATAGATAGATTTAAAAATAAATGTTGGCGACACTGTATTTGGCGCGCGTGTAATACAATGGTAAAGTTTCGTTTTTCATACCTCAGTGTTTAGTAATCGTGAATCATTGGACAACGTACAATACCTGAGTTTGCTGTAAAAACTAAGATAATTTTGATAATTTCCGAACCGATTAGTTCCAGTTCACCTTATTAAATTTATTGTGATACTTGTGAATTTGTTTATTTGGTTTAAAATAATTTTTATTTCAAGTGATTTGCTGCAGATAGAACAATAAACTTAGACGGTAAAATAATGAAACTGGTATTTCACCTTGGCGATTTTTTTTTCTGTGGAGGTACCTATTTTATGAACAAATTGTAGGTACCAAAAAACACCAAAGACACTTGACGATCTCAAACAAAGAAAACAAGAAATGGTGGTATAAATCCCTCGGCCTTGACAAATGTTTGATTCGAGACGGACGTCCTCTTACAGATATCATTTATAAATATTGAATACAAATTTAACATTTCTTCATAGCAATTTCACATTAATTAAGGTGCTATGGTTAGGTTAGGATTGTTTAAAAGTAACTTGTTGCTTTCTTATAGTTATTTTATAATTACCTGTTTCATAGCTCCATTCTGTAATAAAAATTAAACCTATTTATTTCTGCCATGTTGCTTTGAACGTATACTCTTTAACTCTGTTATACATAGTATAAATTCACTTTCATTAAACTTAATCTAAAGAATGGTCGACTTTTTCTTATCTTATTTTTCTTTTTGGTACTATGTAAGAGTATTAAATTAAGAATAATTAAGAGTAAAACGACGATGACACGACATAATTTTGTCAGACATTAATTTGTTCTTTTTGCAAGCCATAAATCACCTTCATAGAGGAGATAATCAGGAAAAAACTTTTTTCAGAGTATGTAAATATAGATATAGAAGTAGGCGATATTATATTTATATAAACTAATTAAGAAAATTAATTAATACATTAAATACTTATTTACTATAGTAGGTATATTATTCGTCTAGAAAGATTTTAAGTAAGTATGAATTAGGTTTTTGTCGAATTTTCCTCGAAAATAAAGACTATTGCATTTATATTTTGTTTGTTGTACATGCAATATACATATATCTTTTTCCTGCTACACTTGGGCACATTTAGCGGCTTCGTCTGTACCAAAGGAACTCAAACCTTATTGTTTTATAAATGGATTAAAATGATGAAAATCTGGTGAAATTTCAATATGCAGTTTACGATGTTGTTGCGGGAGGTAAGTGTTTTTTTTAGCTTTGAGCTTCCCTACAGACCTACCAAATGAAGCCAGAAAGATGCAATTTCGTATATTCAAGGGGTTGGTATCAATCTAACCTAACCTATAGAGAAAGATGGTGGAATTCAAAACCACACCCCTGCCTTTTAGATTCGAAGCGTAGTGAGGGATCTATTGATATAATTATAATGTGTGTTTTTTTTAAAATTTTGTTTGTATTTGTTCCGTCTATGAATAACTTTTCTACCAGAAAACTTGTTCCGAAGTATAGACTATAGCATCTTTTCTGAAAGGTAATTTTCTCTCATTGGTGCATTGGGTAGGCAATTTTTCGATTTTTTAAGAGGTTTTCAAAATAATCAGAAAAAAACAGAAAGAAAAGTATAGATAAAACGGCAAATATTTATAGCACGCCGCAGCATTACCGTTTTCATTGTTTTTATTATGTAAACACGATGATTTCTACCAGAAATATTTTTCCACTCCAAAAATGACAAGTAATCGATTTTGTCCCTTTTAACAAAATCGGGAAAAACCAAAGCAGACGAAATACACGATTTTTTTTTTAAATTACAGCACAACGATTTCATTATTTTAAATTTGTAAGGCTTAAGTTTTCTACCATAAATATTGATCCGATAGATAAACGACAAGGGACCTTTTTTGTTGCATTTTGAATTTAGTTCATGAGTAAATTATTTGTTTTTTTTGATTTTTTTTTGTAGTTATAGTTTTATTAATAATTAGGAAAAACCGGACAAAAACGTAAAATGAAAACTAACAAATTTACGGCGTTACGATTTTATCATTTTAAATTTGTACGGCTTATGTTTTCTATCATAAATATTGATCCAATTGAAAAATATCGAGCGATTTTTTTGTTGAATTTTTAATCTAGTTGACCAAGAGAGTCGATTTTTAATTTTCTTTCTAGTTTTTTTAATCATTGAGCAAAACCGAAAATAAACGAAAAACTACAGGAAATTTTGCGAAAATAATACTCTTATAATTTTTAAAACCTAACCTAACCTAATTATACCCACTACCCACCTACAATATTGGCCACACCTGTTCCCAGTATTAGCTATTTTAAATTCTAAGTGGAGCAAAAAAGCTTATAGTTTTACAAAGATGATTATTTTTTTTTTTATCTGTACGCAACTTTTCTACCAGAAGACTTGCTTGGATTTCTACGTGTAGCAACTTTTCTGAAAGGAAACTTTACTAACGAGGTACTTAAGAAAGTTCATTTGAAATACCCAAGAGTTTTCCCAAAAAATGTGAAAAACCGGGATAAAACATGGGAAGGCCGGGAAAAACGTAGGAAAACTGGGAAAATTAGTAAAACATTAAATTAATATTATTAAAGAAAATATATAAAGCCTATTTAATCATTTTAGTATAAAACGACATATATATTGTTGACAAAGCATCATTATCAGCTGAACTCCTCTCAGAATAGTTTTTTCGTAAGCAATCGTTTATTGTTGCTTACAGTTATGCAATAAATCATCTAAAACAGTGGTTTCACCCGTCCCCATTATCCCAGGACGTCTTTTTTTATATTACAATTTCACACGGTTTTCGAAAGTAAAATAGTATAGGTAATTAATATTATTTTATTATTATAGTAAGGAACGCTTAGCTCGATCACCTAAGAACCCCTGGATCTCATTATTTTCGCTCAGCGCTTACATTCAGCGCATGTGCTTTGTGAAGTCGTACGCAATCCAACAGTACTCGCACGCAAGAAACCTAACCTAATCTAACCAAACCTAAATTAACCACTATGTACCTATTCCACTTTTCGCATTATAATTATTAGATAAATATTTTAATAAATTGGTGTTAGAAATAATATATTTTTTGTCACTGCTAAATTTTCAATCGCGATGTCTATTGTCTATTATGTAAATAATTAATTTTCTTTGCAGAAAGAAAAAAAAACAAATTTGTCATACAGTTTCGTATTTGTATTTCGGTATTCGTATTATAATTTAGAATGATGTACACTTAAAGATGAATAATACAGGAAGAACGACAGTGTATAAAATATTAATTGCTATTGTTACGCTCAAATTTGTGTAATTTTTACAAATGTCTACTAAAATTACTAATCGAAAATGTTATTTTTCAAATAGATACATATAGATACATATAATGTAGATTTTACATAAAATTGAAATTTAAAAAATGTATTTGTATCGATGCCGACAACAAAAACCATATTATTGTGTAGTTATTAATTTTAGATGGAATAATAAGATTTATAATTATACTTCCGATAAAATTAATATCAGTTGTAATAATAATAGCTGAACTCGCATTATTCGGATATAGAATTATAATTATTCACGGTTCTATAGATACGATAATAATTTTCTCTAATAATCGGAATTTAACCGTTAAGAGGATGTCAGCGTGAGCGATTTTAAACGAGAACGCGTCAAACAATCATTCTATCTCGAAATAGTCATTTAGCGTAAAAACAAACCTATCTTTGTATAGGATATGTCATTATATCCTTTTCAATATATATATATAAATTTATGAAGTTGGTTATTGTTTTTTTAGGGTAAAAAAGACCAGTTTTAGATTCTATTTTATTATTAGATTTTATGAATATTTAACCATGTGTATTTCAATATATGAATAAATCTACCTTATTGTTTAATTCAAATAATTAAAACATCAGTGTGCCATATTATCCTAGATAATGTTGTTTACCGAATTGCATGAATACACAATCAATATTTGTGAAAAAGACCCGGAATTATTTTAAAATCTATATGAAAGTAAAG